TCCCCCATGCTACGTCATATGACGCCATGTTGAAAAAAAGAGCGTTCTAAACAGCTATACTGAAAACGGACACTTTCTCCTCTAATTTTGGCCCTTTAGTGTTGTATAACACATCAAATCAAACATTGACGTATTCTACAGCCTTTATCAGACAAAGTTAAGTGTTCATTTATTAAAAATGTAACCTGCAATATGCTCTTTAAATTTAGACAAAATGTCTTATGTTAAAGTTTTGTTTGAATGTATTATTTAACGTAGTTTTAAAAAACAGTATTCCACAATGTGTAACTGTGACCGGAAACAAATGTTGCTCCGTAGCTTTATTGACGATAAAAGTGACTTCACAGGGTCGGTGTTGATTTTTCTCTTCATGCTCTTATAAAATTATTATCTGTAAGATTGTTCTGCAAATTAAACGTAACATGTGATCGACTTGTTTCTATAATCATATGCTAAAATAAATAAATAGGCAATGTCTCATTATCATAAAAAATATATGAAATGAAAATGACAGATCGTTATAGATTATGATGGAAAATGTATGACAAGAAAGTCTAGCGCAACCTCTGAGACAGACAGACACACAGAAGCTGTCTCACTGTTTCTGAATGATGAACTAATGGTGGATTTAAATCTAGATGTATGAAGTAGATTCTGATCTGGTTTCTTCCTCCAGGTTGGACCATGGTGGACTGCACACACTGGATCCTGGTCTGAGGAAGTGTGAGTGTGTTTTCATTTCTCTTCATCAGAACACAGCAGCACATGTTGGATGAGGGCTGGAAGTAACACAAAGTGATGATAAAAGTGAGGGTGATGGAAACTCATGAGAGTTGAAATAGTAAACAATAAAAAATATAAACTGAAATAAAAGTGATAATCCAGAATGTGCTGAATGTGACCTCTGAGGACAGAACAGTTGGAGACAGCAGATGGTTCACAGCTTCTTTGTGCTGCACTTTGATTAGTCAGACTTTATTCACTGCATGTGTTTGTTGATTTGGATCTCCATTCATCCTGACTGCCATGGTAACTACATTTGAACTAGATTAGAAGTGGATTATTACATTTCAGTGCCAAACATCATTCAGTGCAGAATATGAACTGTAAGTTTGATTGACTCTCAGTAAGTGTCAGTAAAGTTGTTGATGAATGAACAGATGATAACCTGCAGCTGTGTTGTTGTTCTCTCCATCAGACGCCTGTGAGCTGGAACTGGACACAAACACAATGAGCAGAGAACTGAAACTGTCTGACAACAACAGGAAGGTGACACATGTGGAGGAGCTTCAGTCATATCCTGATCATCCAGACAGATTTGAAAACTGGCGTCAGCTGCTGTGTAGGACTGGTCTGACTGGTCGCTGTTACTGGGAGGTTGAGTGGAGAGGAGAGGTTTATGTATCAGTGAGTTACAGAGGAATCAGAAGGAGAGGAAACAGTGATGAATGTGTGTTTGGATGTAATGATCAGTCCTGGAGTCTGAGTTGCTCTGATAGAGGTTACTCTGTCTGGCACAATGACAGAAGAACAAAGATCTACTCCTCATTCTTCTCCTCCTCCTCTTCCTCCTCCTCCTCCTCCTCCTCCTCTGTCTCTAACAGAGTAGCAGTGTATGTGGACTGTCCTGCTGGCTCTCTGTCCTTCTACAGAGTCTCCTCTGACACACTGATCCACCTCCACACCTTCAACACCACATTCACTGAACCTCTCTATCCTGGGTTTAGGCTCTGGTTACCAGGTTCTTCAGTGTCTCTGTGTCATTTGTCAGTCTGAGAAACTCTGCTGACTGAAGATCAGCTGACTCTGTTCACTCTGTTTCAAACTAATGAATTATTCTGATTTCATCACTTAGATTGTAAATGTTTTATCACTCTTACCTGCAATCCTCAGTGATATGAAAAATCATAAAGAATAAAATACATTAGTTCATTTGTTTTTCTTTTATATTTGAATGATACTGTAACACCATGTTGAGATTAAACAAGATCTTTCTGAGGTACAAGAGAATCCTGGACTCAGAATCAGCTTTATTTGCTAGGTATGTTCACAGATACGAGGAATGTGACTTTGATAGACTGTGTTTTATGTAGAAAAGTAAAACATGAAATATTATAAAATCAACAAAAACATTAAATGTACAAGCCTACATGAGACAATAGTGCTGGTGTGTGACGTGCAAAGATGCTAATTCACATGATAATAAATGATGTTATTGTGTAACAGATGGATTAATTTACATGAGGTATTGACCCAACATGACCTCATTATGTATTGATCATGTCAATAGTGAAATGTGCACCCCTGTCTCTGCCCCTGCAGTGTGTGGGTGTGTATCTGTGTCAGTAGTGTGTCTAGGTTAATCAGGTGGTGATGGATGCTGCTGCTGAGTGGAGGTAGAAAAGAGAATTGCCATGACGGTAGTGGCCGAATGCTGACACTGAAGCTTTTAAAATCTCAGCTGCTGCAGCCTGCTCGCTCCTTCTCCGGCCACTTCAAACAAAGCCAGCTTGACATTTGAAGATTATAAAGATAGTACATTTTTAAGATTGGTTAGCGTGGAGTCTGGTCTCAAGCTCCTGATTGTAGTCTTCCGGGTGGAAACAAGAGGACAGACTAGCTGTGGCCCCAAAGAGTCTATAGAACTCCTTCCAAAACCAAGAGGCAAACTGGGGCCCCGGTCTGACACAACATCCTGAGGGTTTACATACAGCTGAAAAACATGAGATAACATGACCTCTGCCATCTCCATGTCAGAGGGAAGCTTTGGCAGAGGGACAAAATTAGCCATTTTAGAAAATCTGTCCACCCCTCTCCTCAGTTCTTCTCAAATATTACACAAGTGTCTATCAATCATTCACGTTTGTGCATTTATATGAATGCGCATATATAAATATATATATGTGTGTGTGTGGATGAGATGCCTGGAGATGCTAAAGGCTCTGGACATTGTTGGACTGTCTTGGGAATGGGAATTTGCTCATCCAGTGTTTTGTGGACTTGGAGAAGGCTTTTGACCGTGTCCCTCAGATGGAATACGTGGTCCCGGGGCCGTTGCTACAAGCCATCCGGTTCCTGTATGACACAAGTGGGAGCTGTGTCCGCATCCTCAGCACAAAGTCAGACACGTTCCCAATGGGTTTTGGCCTTGCCAGGGTTGCCCCTTGTGTTTGTGATTTTCCTGGACAGAAACCCAAGGTGAAAAATCTCATCTCTGCTTTTTGAAGATGATGAGGTTTGTTGTCTTCCTCATGCTGGGACCTCCAGCAGGCATTGGGACGGTTTGCAGCCAAGTGCTAAACGGCTGGGACGAGGGTTAGCACCTCTAAGTCTGAGGCCATGGTTCTCTGCTGGAAAACAGTAGATTGCTCTCTCCAGCTGGGGAGTGTGCCTTACCCCAGGTGAAGAAGTTTAAGTATCTTAGGGTGACCCCGGGGTAGACCCAGAGTTCGCTGGAGGGATTAGAAAGATAGATAGATAGATAGATAGATAGATAGATAGATACTTTATTGATCCCGAGGGAAATTCAAAGCATCCAGTAGCAGGTTACAAAGACGTACATGACATGAAACATTTGTCACAAATTAACCACAAAACGACCCCCCCCCCCCCCCATTGAATCAAACTTAAACTGTGCAATTAAAAATAGACTTATACAAGAAATGTACATAACCCGTGCAGGATAAAAATATATGTGTAATTTAAAACAAGAACCTATAAACAGTTGAGGGAAAAAATCTGTAATTAGACCTGAATATAAAAAAAAAAAAATATTGACCTTCTGAAGTTGTGTTGTTTATATATGTACAGCAATGTTTTAAAAGCAGATAGTGCAGAGTTATCAAAAACAGACATTAAATAACAGGCAGTGCAAACAATAAATTAAAGGTGCTATGTAAGTAATTGAGGTGATCATTAAAGTGTCCAACTAGAGGCTGACTCTTGGGACAGCTGTGCAGAAAGGAAATGGAAAAAGGAAGATTTTAGTCCAAGTGTTCCATAACCGTAAGGTGTTGTACAGACGTATGGCCAGGGGGACAAAAGAGTTCTTGAGTCTGTCTGTGGAGCAGGATTGTGACTGCAGTCTGCCACTGAACACACTCCTCTGCCTGGTGAAGGTGCTGTGCAGAGGGTGGTGGGTGTTGTCCATAATGGAGAGCATTCTGTTCAGGGTCCTTCTCTCTGCCACTGTCACTGTCCAGCTCTGCGCCCACCACAGAGCCAGCCTTCCTCACCAGTCTGTCCAGCCGTGCTGCGTCCCTCTTCTTGCTGCTTCCTCCCCAGCACACCACAGCATAGAAGAGGACGCTGGCCACCACGGACTGGTAAAACATCTGCAGCAGCTTCTTACAGATGTTGAAGGACCCCAGCCTTCTCAGGAAGTACAGACGGCTCTGTCCCTTCCTGCAGATAGTGTCCATGTTTGATGACCAGTCCAGCCTGTCGTCCAACTGCAGCCCCAGGTACCCGTAGGTCTTGACCACCTCCAGGTCGACCTCCCCCGATGGAAACAGGTTGTAGATGTGGCTTGTTCCTTCGATTATATATCCCATCTAGCTTTGGAACACCTCGGAATGCCCCAGGAGGAGAGATGTAGTCTGGGTTGGTGCTGCCGGGGATTAGCATGCCCAGGCATCCAGCTGGGCTTGTATTTAATTCTTGAGGGAGTGTTGGGGGTTGATGGTTGGAGCCAAGGAGAACCACTTCTTGAGGGATTGAAAGAGCCTCTTCGGCTTCAATATTCCATGCATATCTTGTTCCTGGGCAAATGAGAGCATTGAGAAGGGCTGCAGCAGAACTATAGTTCCTAATAAAATGTCAATAGAAGTTAGCAAACCCTGGGACTCTTTTCTCCACCTTGACAAATTGTTGATTCTCCAGCAACCATTGTAACACGTGCTCTTCGCCTGGCTGGAGAAGATCAAAATTCATCAAGGTAGACAAAAACAACCTTGTTCAACATGTCTTTTAGAACAGTGGTTCTCAACTCATGGGTCGGGACCCAAAAGTGGGTTGCTGAGCCGTTTTCAGAGGGTCGCGAAGGTGTGCCTGGGGAAAAAAGTGTCAAAAAATCTATGAAGCACTTTTAAAACATGTTTGTTTTGTTTTCCTCTCTTTGTCATGTTTTGAACTGTCTGAGGTCCGAACCTTTTTTCATTAACAGATCTAAATGGTTGAAAAATATCAGAAGTTTGGGTGGGACTTTCTCATTAAGGAGTTGGTGATGAGTCCTGAGGCTAAACCAGTTGAGAACCAGTACCTCAGAATGTCATTCTCCAGGGACTGAAAAAGAACTGCTGGGGCATTAGTGAAATGGCATGACCTGATATTCTTAGTGGCCACGAGGTGTGTTCAAGGCGGTTTTCCATTCATCCCATTCAGCCTCAGGACCCACCACCAACTCCTTAAAGAGAAATTGCGATCCAAATTTTAATTTATTTTGTACAAACCAAATTTATTTAAAGAGTCCATATTCTGCCCTTTTTGGGGTTCATATATTTAATCTATGTATCTACTAAAGTATGTTCACAATAGATAAAGTTCTAACAAAGTGTCTGTTTTCATGAACTGCCGCTCCATGCACCGGCTCTCTTCTGACTCTCTCTCTAAGGCTCTGAAGTGCCCACGTTCAGAGTCCCCACGTGTGCCCAGTCTGATCTGATTGGTCGGCCTGTCGGCTCTGTCGTGATTGGTCAGTCGCTCAGTACGGTTCTCGGAAATGTCCCGCCCCTTTTACCATATTGGGAATGCAGCTACTGGCTCCGAGGGGGAGCAAAAACACCGGTATGCAAACGGCAATGGCAACTTCACCAATCTGACAGAGAGGAGGAACAAACACAACAACCTTTGCCACGAAGACATGAGCACAACGTTTCAGTGTTGGAGGTATTTATTTTGCAGCATACGTTAGCCTCTTCCAATTTCACTGACTGGAGCTACCAGCATATTTCCCTATTCCAAAAATATATATCTTACTCGTGGCTTCACAAAGTTTGGCTTTATTACAATATGATTATTGGCCACAAATGTGTTCTGTACAATACATTTTATTGTATTTACATTAGTACTGTATGTTGTTTATTGCAGCGACTCACCTTGTTCTGCATTGTATATCACCTCCTTGATGTGATTAAAAATTCAATGAGCAATTGTAAGTATCAATGACATCATAGACTTACTTTGACTACAAAAGCCCAGGTGATAATCACGTGTTTGTTGGATCAATATCTCATGCAATAATGTTTCCTCCTTTGTCATTATTTTCCTTCTTATTGAACATTATTTCATTTTAATCAGTATCTTCTTCTTTCATCAGGAGAATGAATCCGCTGCCTGTTCCTTGTACCAAAAACATCCAGGACTGTTTAAACCCATATACATTTATATATTATAAATAATGATTTACATCTTCAAACAAATTCATTCTAATCAAACAGTTTCACTATTTCAGAGGAATAAAAGTAAACAAGTGAGAACATTATTTGTTGAAAGTGCTTTATTCTCAGCTAAGGTTAAAAAACATTTAAATGTGTAGAACTATACGTGTGAATATACAATGAGAAGTAACATTTTTACATCCATCTATATTGTCTCATACAGGCTGTGCAGACACTTGGCAGTGGTTGGAGTGGTTATCCTGTCGTGTGTCGTCCTGAGGATTCACCCCGAGTTTCCTGACCCGACTGGACAGTATGTTGGCTTCCGCCCGCCCCTTGACTACACCTGGACACGTGTCGAGCCACCCCTCCTTCTTTCTGAGAGTCAGGTATTTTCTGCAGCTCCTCCATGAATGGTTCTGGTTCCTGAAACACCTCCTCCAACACCAGTGCCATCAAGTCCCCGACATATCCTGTAAAAAAGTAATTCAAGAACAAAAATCTATTTCATAATGTTTGGTTATTGCTCATTTTTCACACTCATCTGAAAAATGAGCTCAGCTAACAATGCTATACCTGTTACCGCTTTAGATGAAAGTTGATAAATAGTTTAGTACTGCTCTAATTTAGAAAAATAGCATTACTTAGCATGTTAGCCGAGGCTTACAGTTCAGCTACAGACAGCCTTCACAGAACTAAAGTATCCAGCAGCTCAAAAGTTGTTTTCAAACAAATAAAAAAGACAATTAATGAAGCGTACTTACATGTTGTGGTTGTGAACTTCCAGAAGTATCAGAATCTCCACAGAGAGAAGAAGCTGAATCTTCTTTCCAATTCTGTCTTTTGCTCAAGCTAACGTGCATTAGCACCTTAGCACTACTGTGCTACCGCAGGCTGCGGCATATCGTGGGCGTGCTACAGAAGTTTAATGAGCGTGCAACATGAGTTGCTGGAATTGCCACAACGAGCCAATGGGCTTCGATCAGTGATCTCACACTGACAAAACGTCACACTGACAAATTTTTATATACTGAAGAGCATATAAAACCAGAAAAAGCAAAATATGACCCCTTTAAACCGGCCGGTTGATGTCGCCATAGCAACTCCCACCGTTCACGCAGCTGATGATGTATCCATAGCAACTCCCGCCAGTCACACAGCTGATGATGTCTCCGTAGCAACTCCTGCCGTTCACGCAGCTGATGATGTATCCATAGCAACTCCCGCCAGTCACACAGCTGATGATGTATCCATAGCAACTCCCGCCAGTCACGCAGCTGATGATGTATCCATAGCAACTCCCGCCGTTCACGCAGCTGATGATGTATCCATAGCAACTCCCGCCAGTCACGCAGCTGATGATGTATCCATAGCAACTCCCGCCATTCACACAGCTGTCTGTACCTTTGATATGATTTTTGACACATTCCCTCACAGGAAAAGCACAGAGGTAAGTTTCTGGGTAAAATAACAAATAAAGACGTCCAGGAATAACTAAAGCAATACTTTAAAGGTCCCATATTATACTTTTTCTGGTTTTATATGCCCTTCAGTGTGTTTTCCAAGTGTCCTGTGCATGTTTAGGCACATCTATTTGCAGAAATTCAAAGTCCGCGTAAATGAGGCTTCTCCTACGTCCTCCTGTTGGCTGTAGCTGTTCTGGCAGGCCGTCAACCAACGATCTTGAGGAGCTTAAGAGAGCTCAAGAGCTCCCAGGAAAGTAGGTGGTAAGTGACTGAGATTTACAGATAGATACATGCAGTAATATGATGTAATGTGAGAGAGAGAGAGAGAGAGAGAGAGGAGCTCAAGGTGCCAGTTCCCCCGGTAGTCTAAGCCTATAGCAGCATAACTAAGAGCTGGTCTACACCAGCACTAACTATAAGATTTATCAAAAAGGAAAGTTTTAAGTCTATTCTTAAAAATACAGACTGTGTCTGCCTCCCAGACCCCGGCTGGAAGATGATTCCAGAGGAGAGGAGCCCGATAACTGAAGGCTTTACCTTCCATAGTACACTTAGAGACTGTAGGTACCACTAGTAGGCCTGCATTCTGGGACCGTAATGTTCTTGAGGGGCTGTACGGCCCTAGCAGCTCCTTAAGATAAGATGGTGCCTGGCCATTTAGAGCTTTGTAAGTGAGAAGAAGGATCTTGAACTCTATTCTAGACTGTATAGGGAGCCAGTGCAGAGAAGCCAACACAGGAGTAATGTGGTCCCTTTTCCTAGTTCTAGTCGAGCTGCAGCGTTCTGGACTAGTTGAAGAGTCTTTAGAGACTTACCAGAGCACCCTGACAAAAGAGAGTTACAATAATCCAATCTGGAGGTAACAAATGCATGAACTAGTTTTTCTGCATCATTTTCCGACAGGATATTCCTGATCTTGGATATATTACGAAGGTGAAAATAGGCTGTTCTTGAAATTTGCCTGATGTGAGAGGTAAAGGACATATCTTGATCAAATAAAACTCCTAGATTCCTAACAGTGGTGCTAGATGTCAGGCTGATGTCATTAAGGACAGTCACATCACTAGAAAAAGTCTCTCTGAGGTTTTTAGGGCCTAGCACAATAACTTCAGTCTTGTCTGAGTTAAGTAGCAAAACATTTCTGGTCATCCAGGTCCTAACGTCCTTAAGGCACGTTTCTAGCTGACATAACTGACTGGTGCCATCGGGCTTCATTGATACATAAAGCTGAGTATCATCTGCATAACAATGAAACTGTATGGAGTGTTTCCTCATAATATTTCCCAGAGGAAATATTATTATTATGCTAAGGTGCTAATGTTTATGCTCTCCTCGGAGCCAAAGTGGCTGAGCGACTGACCTATCACAGCATCAGAGCCAACAGGCCGACCAATCAGATCAGACTTGGCACATGTGGGGACTCTGAATGTGGGCACTTCAGAGCCTTAGAGAGAGA